ACTCTTACTTTTCTCTATATTTTATGCTTTTTTTAAAAAAAATTGAAACATCAGTTTACAATGTTGTGTCAACTTCTGGTATACAGCACAATGTTTCGGTCGTACATGTCCACACACATGTTCACTGTCATGTTCTTTTTCATTATAGGATACTACAAGACATTGAATGTAGTTCCCTGTGCTCTACAGAAGAAACTTGTTGTTTATATTTTATGCTTCTTGGTAGGAGATATTGTGGAAGATGCAAAGAGGGATTAAAATAACATAATTTTGCTCCTAAAATACCCTGTAGATTTAGTTTTGTAAAGTCGGAGCAGAGTTTCTCAACCTTAACACTACTGATGCTTTGGGCCAGTTATTTTTGTTGTTGTTGTTGTTGTACAAGGTCGTCCTGTGAACCGTAGGATGTTGGGCTGCATCCTTATTCTCTACCCACCAGATGCCAGTAGCACACTGACCCCACCTGCCATCCTGTGACACCCAAAATGTTGGGTGGGCCTTTGATAACTATTATGTCCTAAACAAGGTGAGGAATAAACCAAAAAGCAAACATGGAGGGGGTGATCTCTCCTTTGTTATGGACAGAGCTGGAGTAAGTCTGTAAGCCAAGCTGGTTTGCTAAGGATAAACACAGAATAAGACTGATTTACCCATTGAATCCCAGGGGCGGGGAGGTGTCAAGAGGGAATTAAGAAAAATTAATACCACTTGAAGGCAGCACATTCCCAAGAGAGAAGCTTGGTGGGCATGGAGTTTTGCTGAGCAGGACCATATTTTAAGTATTTTCTCCCCCTCTTTGCAGTTTAGGTGCACATAGTCAAATTAACTATCATCTTTTGGTTCTTGACACCTTGTAACGGTCCGTGGTGGCTAGTTTTTTAAATTTATTTACATATCTTGATAGTTATTTTTAATAATGAAATTCACACCTAGCACCTCACCATTCTCCCACCCAAGAAGCATCGTCCTGAAATATATTGTTTCCAAATTTACCCATAGAGTAAATCTCTCTACTGCCCCAGGGACACAATGAGCAAAGCTGGCAAAGAGGTGAGAGAGGAGCTCCAGGAAACCGAGAGGGAGGAATGTGGTCTCCTTCTGACAGATGGTGTTGAAACTTGTCTGTGTCCTGATTTTTTTCAGAATACAGGGTGTCCCTAGGAGCTAAATAGATGCCAGTAACATTGTAAGAGGATCATGCCAAGTGTTCAGAGCTTGAAGGGCTATTACTTTTTCTTAGTGTAAAACTATTTTTGTCAAATTGAGCACCTGGCGATGATACTGAGCATCCACAAACTGGCACCTGCAAACACACCTGCTCATTCTTTTCCCCTTCAAGTCCAAGTGTCCTTTCACATGCTGAGATTTTTTTTTTTAACACAAAAGCTGTCGTTCTGTGGATTGACTCTCCCTCAATTTTGAATTCTGTGATTTACCTTCTTGCACAATAGGAAGAGTCCTTTCAAAAGTAGAATTACACCATGTTAGAGTTGATCTGATCCAGCATCTCCCCCAGGGTAATAGGTTAATAACAAATAGCTTTGTAATGACAGATTCAAGTTTGTAATCTCACTGAACATCCACAGCCTATAAGCCATACTTTGAAATCTAGAAAGTAGTCAACAAAATGAGCAACGTGGCCATGATGCCTGAGTTTTTCTGACTTTGCAAAGGAGCTATGAGTGCAAGTTCCATTGCAAACCATGTGATAGTACTGAGGTCACCAGGTCGAGGATGGAGTGAAAATGAGCCCTCGTTAAAGAATAAACGTACAGGGAACTGTTTACTGCTGCATCTGCAGAATCTAGAAGAGAAACCAGTGCAGTATGGTATTGGTATTTGAAGAAGCAGAGTCCTGGTCATAAGTAACAGTCACACCCAGTTCTTAAGCACATTCCACTTGCAGTCCCCTGGGTTGGGTGGTTCACGTTGGTACTTTAACTTAGCAAGCACAGATGAGAGTTTTCATTATTCCCATTATTGCTTTGCTCTTGAGAAAACAGGTTCAGAGGAGTGAAGTTGTTTGTTTAGGTCACACAGCTAATAAATATAAGGCAAAGATTTGGACTGTGTGGTTTCTGTCATCCTGTCTTCTCATAAGCTATGAAGAGATATGGCAGGTGTTTTGGCTTCCTGTTTTGGTTATGCCATCAGTTAAGCAGTGCTGTGCAAATCGGAGGTCCTCTGAGTACCACGAAATGCTTGGTTCATAGTAAATCAAGGCGGCCTATCCAGATTTGAATAATCTATGCAGTCTTTAGACTAGGATGCAGTAGTGTGTTTGGATGTTTTACAAGATATTCAGAGAAAACTTGCACTGATCTTGCTCTCCCCAGAGTAGCTTAAGTTGTGGATGGCATGTTTCTTTTTTATTTGCTTTTGTATTTTTTGAAATTACTTTGTCATATGATCTAAGGTTCAAGTAGCAATGAATTTCTTATTTATTCTAGATGAATTCTCTTAAAAATATTGTGTGCCTAGGTTGGGTGGAATGTGACTAAAAATGGATGAAAATGGAGTTTAGGCAACAGGAGCATGAACTTGCCCAGCTCCCTACACCCCTTCAGTGCAACAGGTGCAACATGGACATATTTTTTTCTTCCAACTTGTAGTCAGTTCCCTCAGCCCTTATGGAACTGTTCCAAATAGAGATGAACCTGCCTATGTGAATACCAGATTGCAGTTGAATTTGCACTGAATAGCCTCAGAGGGTACACTTGATTTCTGAGCCCTCGTTTCACCATTTTTATTTGGAAACACTAATGCCTATCTGATGTTCCCATGATAAGGGCTACCGGTACTCTTATTGGAAACTAAATCAGGCATGAAGAACACGGCATGCCTTAAACCCACCTTGGTGAAGCTGAACACCTTGAAGGGTGGGTTTATCCTGTCTGGGTATTAGACACGTTGTTCCTAATCTATGCTTCGTGGTCATAACAATATCACTACTAATGAATTGAACGAAATACTTAGACACTATGTGCCAACCGCTATTTTAAGTCCCTTAACAAATACTGACTCATTTCATTCCCATAGCGCCCTGCTTGTTATGTCTGTGCATTTTTGGAGCATCACAAGCATCTCATGCTTTCTTCACAAAATCTCCTATTATCGTTTCTGTTTAAGAGTTGAGTAAATCAGGAGCACACATGAATTATAGACTAACGCCAAGTCTCCTACCCAGGTCTGCTGATCTGTGTGTGTGTGTGTGTGTGTGTGTACGCGTGTGTGCATGTGTGTGTACACAGATCTGGGTCAAGTTTTGTTTGTGCCACAGAGAAACCCATGCTGAGCTTCCTGCTTCCAAGCCCCTGCCTTCTTTAGGTGCCACTTGAAACATTTCCTCACTGGATTTCCGTCTGTCATTTTTAGCTTGCAGAGACACTTTATTGTTCTGTTACCAAGTTTGATACAGGCTGTACTCTAAGTATCTTATTTGAAATGTTTGTCACCAGAGCCCACGATGTGTGATTTTGAGGACAAGAAATTTTGTATACATTTGCATACCTGTATTTATATATATTTTGGTTTCTGATCAACATACCAAGACAGATACTGCCTAACCTTTTTTTTTCCCCCACTGTCTCAGGGTATTGAGATGCTGGAAATAGGGAATCTATTCAAACACCAGAGTATGCATTGTCCTCTGGCAGCAGCAAAGGAACTCACAGTTAATTGCTAAGCTACAGAATGTTAAATCATCCAGGGGACATTAAATGATGTGGAAAATGACAATATTGTGAGACGTTCTATGTACTTGAACTAGCATTCAACTATCTAAAGACATAATGTGGCTTTTTAAAGTTTATTTATGAGATGATGGCAAAATACAACCAGAACATTTTTCTGGGGTGTCATTTTCTAACTGTAATTAAAAATAAAAACATTTGCTCACCTGGCTGTCATGTGAATAAAATAAATTCTGCGTTGACAAGTTGCAGTCATTTTCGTTAATAAGAAATTTTACAGACTTAGAACACAAAACTATTGATAATAAATTATTCCGGATGGAAGTGTTGTAGAATTATTAGAACACAGGTTTTCCTGCCAGAACAACCTGCAGAATATAGGTTAATTTGTTCAGCAGATATTTTTGAGCATCTCCTTTGTGCTCAGTTTCTGAGGCTTTGGTAGCAAGGAGAGCAAAACTAATCATAGTTCTTGCCCTGTTGGGTGTTGCAGTCCAATGGATCAAAGAGGTGATGGTAATAAAGTATGCATAGATGAGCATCTGTGTTTGATACTGCAAGGGAGAGGAGCATGGGACTGTGCTCTGCTGGTGTGAAATAAGGAAAACTAACCTGATTTGGGAAGACTGGCCAGGGTAGCACTGAGATGGGGTTGGGATGACTTTGCAGTATTTATCAAAAAACTTAAAGTTCACTCCTCTTGATTTTCACATCGAGGCATTTTTCCCTCAAGGAACAATTTGAGGTGTGTGAAGCATTTTCGCTGTAAGGACAAGGCATTGTTTTTATTACGGAAATGTTGGAAACGTCTTAAATATTCCAAGTGAGCACTTAGTTAACTTTATTATGTTCTCAAAAATTATATCGACTACTCAAAACCGTTTTAAAAATAATGTAAAAATGTTCTTATTGTAATAAGATATTTAGTAAAAAAAAAAAAGAGTATCTACAAAATGGAATTTTAAATGCCTTTGCCTTTATCCCAACCACATCCTTTCTGGTTACTCAATTTACTCTTTGATTTCAAATACGTCAACAGTCTTACTAACACCAGCAGTAATAGCCACTCCTCCTAGCTGCCGTGTAGCACCAGATCGTCTGCATCCTTTATTTCAATTGATTGCATGTGAACCAGTGAAGAGTTACTGTTACATTTATTTCCTTTTGTACACTGCAACTTTAAATATGTCAGCCGACATATATGTTCTCTATGCAACACAGAAGGAATTGTTTCGATACCAATGCTCTTTACTATGAATTTCCTTAGCTAAGAGAAATCACTCTTTTTTTTTTTTTTTTTGGTGACAGCATTCTGTGAAGAGGGCTGCAGATACGGTGGAACATGCGTGGCTCCTAACAAATGTGTCTGTCCTTCTGGATTCACAGGAAGCCACTGCGAGAAAGGTAACTCAGCCCAGCGTGTCTGTGTGTGTGTGTGTGTGTGTGTGTGTGTGTGTGTGTGTGCGCGCGGGCATGCGCACTGAGGGTGGGGACAGAGAGAGAGAGAGACTGTTTCAGAGAGAATGGAAGCTCTTTCTCTGGGAATAGAGCACTATGGGTTGACTTCATACACTGTCGTTGGTGTGTGTGTCTGTCCCAAAGTGGGGACCTTTTGATTACTGCATAATAGGCATCCTGCTTCTGAAAGTGGAGCTTCACTTGCCCTCCCTGCAACGTGTCTAATTTAGCAAGGTCGGATCTTGTCTCTGCTACAGTTTGCAGTGTGCGTTTTTAGTGCTAATTAGAGATAAAGCCTGGCAATCGGACCTGCCCCACTTATCAGCTATCGGGTGGCGTCACTCGCAACCACTGGAGTTACAACAATCTGCTGTGTCCACGGAATCTAAAGTAGAACCACATGCTCCTTGCAAAAAAGCACATTAAATAACTCCAGCAGCAGAGTTACGGGTGTGCTTGGGGTTTTATTCTAATATTGGTTTATTAGGAACATTATCATTCATGGACCCGATGATATAAGCCAATTAGTATTGGTAAGATTCCATTATATGCAGCTTTCTATTCGCAATAAATGTAGTGTTTATACTCGGCACTATTTGGTGAGATCCAGCTCTTAGAAATTGCAGAAATCCTTCTGTCTGTGTGTAAATGAAATGTGACATTCAGTGCCAGTGTGCAATGTATGTATCAGTGCAAGCAAGGGGTTTACGCCGTGTAAAACTGAGTATTTCAGTGTAATTTTCCATGAGTTTCATTAGGCTACAATCCCCGTGTTGTGTTTTGCTGAGTCTGGAGTATCACACTTGACACTTCTCGCAGTAAAGCACAGAAAGATGGACATAGAATGCCATAGTCATTATCCCTTTTATTAGATGAAGGGGAGTGCATCTTCCTCTAATGCTAAGGATTTAAGCAAAGCTCTTGCTTCTCTTCCTTCGTGTTTAAAGGTTTTTGAATTTTGATTATACATTTTTTATTTTTATTTATTTATTT